ATGCTGCGTCTTCAAGCTCACCGACGGGGTCTGATGCTCCGGCAAAGGCGGAGGATAAGAAGCTGGAGCCATCACCCGACACCAGCACCGCTAGCGATGCAGAAGCAGAGACCAAACAAAAGCAGGCAGAACCAGCAACGACAGAGCCAGCGAAACTGGAAGCGACAGAGGCGGAGAAGAGAAAGGTGCTGCTGAAGAAGCTCAACACGCTGCTGTTGGACGACAGGAAGTTCCCCAAGGCAGCGCCGGTGCTGTGCAAACTCATGGAGACAGACCTGCGCAGGGACACGAGCGAGGAGTTCTTTCCGCTGCTGCAGAAGCTGGACGCGCTGGCGTCCCGCCGCCAGGGCAACCCGGCCAGCATGGCGGCGTATCGCGACATCTTCTCACTCGCGCACCGCAACATGGACGCTTTCTCTGACAAGCACACGTTCCAGCTGCGCACGATGGTGCTGTACCACGTGACGTGCCACCGCCTCAACACAGACGACACGTACCAGTTTGCGCAGGCGGCCAAGGTGGCGCACGAGGCCATTGAGCAGCTGGACACGGCCTTCCCCAAGCAGAGCGACATCCTCCTGGGCATGGAGATCACCCAGTATGTGCCGACAGACGCCGAGAAGCGTGAGCGGCTGGACGCCATTGTCAGGGTGCTCTCCACGCTCTTCCAGCACCGCAAGAAGCAGTGGGCGAAGACGAGCGTGGATCTGGCGTTCAAGCTGGCGGGGGACCGTCGCCTCATCTTTGACCAAGTCAACCGCGAGAGAATTGACGACATGTACGACAGCATCAAGGAGCTGCGCTCGGCAAGCACGCTCGGCACCAAGCGCTCGGCAAACCCACGCGGCATGTTCAAGTCGTGGGCAGCATGACCATGATGATGATGATGATGAACGAATGATGATGATGATGGTGATGATGGTGATGATGACTATGTCAATAGTGGTGTATGTGTGTGTGTGTGTGTGTGTGTGTGTTCCTCGTCGACCGTCGTCTTTCGTCTTCAACACCACCCCGCTCGTGTCTACCTCAGTGATTCTGTCTGTTTAAGCAAGATGAAGTCCTCTTCGATGAAGGCCTCAAACCAATAAATGCAACCGCCTAGCCGGCTTCTGAATACAACTCACACGCAGCAACACACACACACACACAGCAACACACACACACACACACACACCACTGCCAACCTCTCCTAAACCCCCAACACCACCACCACCACCAACACACCTTCAGCCATGCGCTCCACTCAGCACGACTGCAACACATCCGCCAGGGTCAAGCCCTGACCGCCACCGCCACCTTTCTTCTTCTTCTTTTTCTTGTTCTTTCCTTTGCCGTTCTTGCCGCCTTGTTGTTGCTGTTCCTTGGCGACGGCTTGTCCCAGCAACTGCTTCAGAGCTAACTTCTGCTTGTTGCGTTCCTGCCGCTTCCTGTCTTTCTTCGTGGCCGCCTTGCTTGACACCGGTTGTTGTTGCCGCTGTTCTGATCTTGGTGTGGGCTTGTCAGCTGGGGACGGGTGCGTCACGCTCGGGTCATGCTGCAGCGCTGCAGCGCCGGCTTGAAGCTGGCCATTATTACTGGCGCCAGTTGTTGCAGGCGCGTGTGTTCCTTTTGCCGCCGCAAGCTTGACGCTCGCAGCGGCCGCCTTGTTGCCGCGACGCAGAATTCGCCTTGCTGTGCGTGGCGCTCTGCCTTGCCAGCACCGCATTCCGCACTGCGAGCACACAACCTTCACGACAGGCGTGGCTTGGTGGCGCCGGCGTGCTCGTACACACCGGGGCGGGTGCGCTGCAAAGACGGACCCACATCTTTGGCAGAACTGCTGCTTCGCGTCGCCATGAAGCGCACAGTCCCCCTTCGCAGACATCGCTGCAAATAATTGTGCCGTGGTCGAGGCGCCCGCATCTGAGTTGTCACCTCTGCTACTCGCCATGGTTTCCCTTCCCACAGTTGACACGAGTGCTCGTGCTGGTGCTGGTGTTGGTGACGGTGTTGGTGCTGGTATTGATGCGCTGAGCCAACCCGTGCGCGTGTGCTCCTTTGCACCACCATCACCACCTCCCCCACCGCTTTGCTGCTGATGCTTCTTGCCTTTCTTCTTGTTCTTCTTGGCTGCCTTGCTTTTGGAAGCACTCTCCTCGTCCTTCTCCGCACTCTCCTCCACCATGTGCCCGAGCGGCGCCAGCATGTGCCGTGCCATCTCTGCCCCACCGCCCTCTGCCAGCAGCAAGCTCGCCGCCCTCGCCAGGAACGCACACGTCACAGGCGCAGCTGTCATGCTCGTGTGAGCGTGCGTGCGTGCGTGTGTGTGTGATTTGTGTGTGCGAAACGTGCAGACGTGAAATTCATCAGCCGTTATTCTCACAACCACACACAACAGCGACAAACGATGAGGAAGACGACCACGAGTGCGGGTGACGGTGGTGGTGGCGGTGGTGGTGGGAAGAAGGGTTCCCGCTTGCCTGTGCGCTCAGCCCAGCCACAGCATCAGCCACAGCAACCTCAACACCGACATCGAAAAGTTGGCATGCAACAAGGGACATCCTTGCCTCCAGCCGTCAAGGTAAGGGGTGTGCGTGTGCGAGTGTGTGCGAGTGTGTGTGCTCTCTGTGTGCTCTCTGTGTGCTCTCTGTGTGGTCTCTGTGTGACACACACACACACACACACACGCAACGCAACACACACGCTCTCTCTCTCCCTCTCTGCCCCTGCCGTCCATCTACCCTCACCAACAACTCCTTTGGGTATCCACAACAGGGCCCGGTTCAAGCCCGAATTGTTGTCACGGTGGATCAGATCGCATGGGCCATGCGTGACCCGCCCCGCCGCTTCACTGTCAGCCTCGCTTGGTGGGGCGACCCACAAGCCCCAACAACGTTCAGGTACGTCGCCCACCAGGCCCCCTCTCATGCTTGCTTTGGTCACCTTGCACGGCACACTGAACTATTTACCCACACACATACACACACACACACACATACGCACCTTTTCTTACGTGTGCGTCTGCATCCGTGCGTCTGCTTCGTTGCTGCGTCCTCAGTCCCAAGGTGGTGACAAACAAGACACGCGGCAAGAACAGGCAGCGGCTGCAAGCTGCAAAGCAGAACCCGCCCTCCAAAACATACGTGGACACGACGGCAGTCTTCCCCGTGCGATGCGGCAAACCCCAGCTCATGCAGTACCTGGCAGATATGGCGTGGATCGGCTTTGACGTCGCAGACAGCATCAAGCGAGGTGGGCGGGGATGATGGCGCTGGCTGCGTTGTGTTGGTTTTCGGTGTTCATTGCCTGCGTTCCGCTTGGCTGCATGGCCACACATGTCAACAACAACAACAACAGAGGTTGCCTTCTCACACACGTTATGATCATATGCATGCGCTCCTGCTCGTCCCACGTCGTCATCATCACCGTTTTATCCCCTCACGTTTCGACTTGTCTGTGCTGTGTGCTTCCTGTATGGCTCACATCACATCACATCACACACGCTCTGTACGCACTCCGCCAGTTGTGCTGGGTCGGGCGGAGTTGAAAGCGCCAATGCAGCTGGACCGCAAACCTGTTGAGCGCTGGTGTCCCGTCATGACCGCCGACATGCACAAGGTATTATTATGTGCTGTCGTGGCGGCGTGTTAGGGCTGAGCTGTTGCTCTTGTTGTTGCTGCTGCTGTTATTTGCTTGTTGCTCTTGCTGTTCTTGTTCCTTGCTGAAACCCTCACCGCATGTGATAACGCCATTCAGGTTGCCGAAATACACGTGCGCATCCAACTCCTCACCAGCATTGAACCACAAGGTCCGTGTGTGTGTGTGTGTGTCTGTCTGTCTGTCACCAGTGGTCCCAAGCCGTCCTCACTCACACACACACACACACACACACACACACACACACACACACACACACACACACACACACACACACACATACATACACACACAACAGGATCGCCAAACAAGCATGTTGTTGCGCGTCGGTCCCAGATTCCAATCCACCCAGAACACGTGCGTTGCCCCCCCCCAGCGCTTTACTTTGTGCACTTCACAGCAGTCCTTGTTTTGCCTTTCACCTTGCCTCTACTGTTCCAGCTTACCTCACACCATGCGCTCACTGTCCTAAACCCAATTCATCGTCCTTCCCTCAACTGCTTGACCACCTCCCGTGCCCTTTGTCCTCTGCGGCTCTTTTTTTCAACTCCTTGTTCTTGTTCATCACCAGGCGCCACGTCACCCGCTGCACACGAGCTTCGATCCCTTTGGCTCGCCAATGCCGCAAGCAGGTGACACGCTCACGCCTACATACCCGTGTGGTCGGATGTGCATGTTGCTTGTCCGGTTGTTTTCCTTCACTCGCACATGCACATGCACACATGCTCCCTTACTCACGCACACACGTTCCGCATGCCCACGTGCATTTTTGCGTTGCCTGCAGGCATGACGCCTCGGGTTGGGCGCCATGGTGCAAGCCCGCTCAACCGCTCCAACATCCCCCAGCTGCACATCCATGACACCGATGATGGTGATAGTCATGACGATGGTGAGGTCCTGGACACCAAGAGGCAGCTCCTGTTTAACCAGCAAGAGAGACTACAACAGCAACAACACCAGCAAGAGCAACGACAGCAGCAGCAGCAGCAGCAGCAGCAACTACAACAGCAACATTACCAGCAACAGCGGGGCATTCCTGAGTTCAGTGCTGCCGCCAATGACGATGACGATGGCGGTGATGATCTGCTGTCGCAATTGATTGAGAGGAGCGAGCGGTTACAGCGCGACATTCACGACCTCAATTCCGAACTCGTCGGCGTCGCAGACACTCATGACCGCACAGCTCCCAAGAGCGCTGGACGCTATCCATACGCGTCATCGTCATCGCCAGCTCGCATGCACATGCACCAGCAACAACACGCCTACCAAGCAACAGCAACCACAGCAGCAACAGCAGCGCCCTACTCGGCGCCCCTTCACGCTTATATTGGGGCTGTCGACGATGCTGCTGACGATGCCACGGCGGCGCTACTTGGCCATGGAACCATGTACGCTGGTGATGATGGCGGCGGTTGTGCGGATGGAGTGAGCGCAAGCGTGCACCGACTGCTGCTGGATGCAGACAACACGTTTGACTCGAGTGATTCTGTGATGGACAACGACGACTTGATGGCCGATCTTCTATACGACGCATACGACGACGAAGGCGCGGAAGATGAAGATGGCAACACCACGCAGCATGGCGATGGTCAGGATGTCGCTGGTGAACGTGACACTGTTGCTGCTGTGACTCGTACTCGTGCTGCTCGTGATGATGGCGGTGGAAGAAAGAAACACGAGCACGGCATCAACGGCGCTGCTGCAACCACAGCGATGGCAGCGGCTTCCTCTGCTGGCGCTCCCCACGGCCTCGCCCAAGGCCGACAACAACATCCGCAGCAGCAGAGCGCAGAGGGTGATGGTGGTGGTGCAACAGCTGGGCATCACACTACGACCGCCACCACTGCCAGCAGCACATCGCCACCGCTCTCCAAGACCAAACCACCACCAGCAGCAGCAGAGGTCACAGGTGGTAGTGAGTCCCAGGTGCCGCTGCAACTACACAAGCTCGTGCGCATCCTGGAAACAAACCGCGCTGTTGTGTATGCACACGACATGACGCTGCGTCAGCCATGCACGGCGATGGACGAGGGTAACCCGTGCTTCCTCGACCTCAACGTGCCGCTGCAGCCTGCAGACGCTGCTGGGCGCACCCTGCACCACATGCGGCTGCCGGGGCGCGTTCACCGCGGCCGCGTCGTGTTTGACTGCCACGATGCAGCCCCGCTCGCCTTCACAGATGCGGTGGTCAGCTGCTGGCTGCGGAGTGTTGTTGTCGTGCGGGTGATGGTGCCACAGCGCAACACCACGCACCGTGGGCGCCTCTACATCCGCAACACCCATGATGACAATGATGGTGGTGCTCGGGGTTGTGATGACGGTGATGGTGACGATGGCGATGATGGCGATGATGGCGAGAGGAGCAGCAACGGCGAAGCGACGCCACAACTGCATGTCGTGGGACTCGCATCGTTCCCACTGGAGGAGGTCCTGCGTGCACCCGAACTGCACCACACATTCACACTCCCCGTCACCAGCCTGCAACCAACGTCGCACGCCACCATCGACAGTAACGGTGCTGTTGGCGACAATGATGGCGATGGCAGTGTGGTGCATAGCAGCAAGCCGCTCGGCACGCTCTCCCTCAGCATCCGTCTCACCTCTGTTGTTGAGGATGCCAGCCACCCTGCATCGCCGCAGCGGCACCACCACCACGACACACGCAAGGCCACAGCCCTTTCCGCTGATGGCACAGAGGCCCGTGGCTCCAACGACCACCAGCCGCAGCCCTCCTCCGAAACCCAAACAGCAGCAGCAGCGGCAGCACAATCAAGTGGTGGTGGTCGCTCCCCGCCTGTGTATCACCTGCTGGTGAGTGTGGCGGATGCACGAGGCATTGCACCGCGTGGCCCAGCGGCAGCGCCAACGCCGCGTAATTTGTATGTTGTGACGCGTGTGGTCAGCGATCACGAGCCCTTACACAGCGACGTGCAGTGGAATACCAACACGCCATCCTTCAACCACCAGCACACCATTGCTCGTCTCCGCACACACGGCTTTCTCGAGCAGCTGCACCAGGGGCTGTGCGCGGTGGAGGTGTGGGACCGGTGTGGAGCGAGGGATGCGCAGGACACCTTCCTTGGTCTGGTGAAGGTGCGCACGAAGCCGCTGTACGACTGCTTTGTCGATGCCGCCGTGGCCCGCGCCGTGCTTGACGGAACACTGCCCGTGTTTGCTGCCAACGACCACCAGCCGATTGTGGACCCCGTGAGCGGCGGTGTTGTTGGACACATCCGTGTGGTCGTGGCCATGGGCTCGTCGCGTCAGATGATGCTCATCACACGCACACACGCGCACCGTGGCGCCACGGCTGGCGTTCGTGACACTGGTGGTGATGTTGCAGGTGCTGCCAGCGACGTACGACAACAGCTATCACAACGGCAACAGCAGCAACAACCACAGCAGCAGCAGCAGCAGCAGCAGCAGCAGCAGCAGCAGCAGCAGCAGCTTGATTCGGGCGCTGGGGAGTTGATGGTGTCGCGAATCAGCACGCTCGGTCCACGGATCGATGCACGGCCAGATGTGCACCCGCCGCCATGGCTCAAGCAGCAGCAGCAGCAGCATGGCTTTGGTGGAGACGGTGGCGATGAAGAGGGCGTGGATGGTGGGGCCACGCGGCGCGTATATCGGCACATGTTTCAGGTGGAGGTGCAGCGAGCGACAGACCTGGACTTGTTTGCTTCAACGCTCTATGGTGAGACAGACTGTTTTGTGGAGCACGACACCGTACACTCGTTGGTACGCACGGCCAACGACACGGATGGCCGTCGTGAGTGTGGTGCCAGTGACCATCGTGCACAAAGGCATCGCCTCCTCTTACGCAAGGCCAGGTTGGTTCACTGTCGCGTGTGTGTGTGTGTGTGTGTGTGTGTGTGTGTGTGTCTGGCTAAAAGCAATTATCTTGTGTCTTGTTGTTTTTCCTTGTCACATCCATCCCTCACACACGCACACACACACACATCCCTCACACACACGCACATCCCTCACACACGCACTAACACACATACACATACTATTCATTGCAGGACTGAGCCAGTGTTGTGTGTGCCGAACCCCGAGCTCAACCACACTACCAACTGGACAGCGACGACAGCTGCACCAGACACCATTCAGCCCATGCTCGCCAGTCTGCTGCCCCACAGCATGCGATTTGCCCTGTACCAACGCTGCTACTACCCAAACGTGGCAGACACACTGCAAGGCCGCGCCACCCTCCCCACCGCCCAGCTGCAGCACCTCATCAAATGCGTGCAGGCAAGTGGACACACACGGGCCAAGAACACATCACGACAGCGCCACGAGCACACCCACCACCGACATCACGACGATGACGATGCTGATGATGCTGATGATGATGACATGAGCGGGGGCCGATGTGGCGACAGGGATGCCACACGCGTGTCATCGCGATCACAATCACGATCGTCGTCGCCATCAGCATCTCGATGGACGACAGATGACGACGGGGGCGATGAGGGCGTGCGTGTGCGTGCATGCTGCGGCCACCAGCAGTGGTTCCTGCCCTTGATACCAACGGCAGCAGCATCACTCTCCTCGGCAGCTGTGTCGCCCATCGGCCATGTCACAGTCTCCATCCGCTACGCGTGTGTCCCTGCCACCGCTGATGCGCACACCATCACCGATGATCTCGCTGCCCCGACAGCAGCAGGAAGAAGGGCAGGTGGGCGCAGGCAGAAGTGGCAAAGTGGATTTGCGAGCGGCGGTGGTGGTGACGATGAGGAGGAGGAGGACGACGAGGACGGGGTGCGGCTGCGTGTGCATTTGAGGAGATTGACTGGCCTGCAGGCGGCTGTGCAACACCTGCTGCAACAGCAGCGCGTGCGTGCCTTGGAGGTGTGTGAGGAGGCCGGCGTGAATGCGGTTGTGCGCATCTCCCTCGCCCGACCGCTGCAGGGCGAACAGCACGGCGCCACCATCCCCTTTACCGCCGCCGGCACACACGAGCGCGGCCGCTGCTCGGAGTGGTGCGAGACGGGCGTTATTTCCCGCAGCTTCTGCCCTGAGTTTGACGAGCACTGCACGTTCCACCTCGGCCCGCGCACCGTCCCCGCGTCCTCGCTCGCCCGCCGGTCTGGTGGTGGCCGCAGACATGGCGACGCAGGCGCTGGCGACCTCGTCACAGACACGCACGTGCTGGTGGTGGAGGTGTGGCACCGTGCAGAGGAGCGGGCGAGTGCGCTGCCAGAGAATGCCCGCATCAGCATTCATCGCCACAACTCGGCCGCCCGCACGCCAAAGCAGACCACAGCAGCAGCAGCAGCAGCGGTGGCGGCTGGCGTGCAGACAAAGGAGTTTGTGCGGGGAGACATCCTGCTGGCCGCATGCCGTGTTCCCATTGCCGTATCGTTTGAACGCGATGGCACTGCTGTTGCGTTCCCCCAGCACGTGTGGACACCGCTCATGGCTGCGCCTCTGCCCAATAAGGACAGCAGTCGCCTCTTCCACCACCACCATCATGACAAGCAGCGGCATGCGTCATCATCCTCCTCGCTGCTGCCACGATCATCATCAACATCGTCAATGCCGCCCACCGCACAGTCTTGGCGCGTTGTCGGTGCTGTGGAGATGGAGGTGGTGGCAGAAGGTCATGATGTCGGTTCTGGTGCTGGTGGGCGCGGGCAGTCTGCGAGGCGGCGTCGCTGTGATGATGAGGATGAGGAACGCACGCCTGTGGCGGCAGCGTTTGCTCACCCATGGCTGGCTGGTGCTGGCCACATGTGCCAAGTGCAGGTGATTGTGGAAGATGTGTACCTTCCCTCCGATGCGTCAAACACCACAACAACAACAACGACGACGACACAGGAACCAGCGTCGGCGTACCGTTCCCACCGCCACCACCACCACACCCATCAGCAGCAGGCACAGAGCGCACCATCACAATCAGCAGCAGCAACAGCAGCAACCAGAACGCGGTACGTTGCCCGGTATGTGCTGCCTGATGGCCGGTTGCAGTGCACAGAGGCGCGCATGGCGGACACGAGTGGCCACGGCCTGCCCATTGTCAGCCTGCAACACCGCGGCGTGTTCACCTTCCCGCTCACGGCAACGGCGCTCGCAGCATTGCAGCGGCAGCTGGAGGTGCAGCTGTGGAAGATAGCCACAACAATGACAACACGTGATGGCGGTGAAGAGAACAATGGTCCGGAACAGGGCCAATCGCGTGCACAGGAGCAGGAAGAGGAGTGGCTGGGGTCGGCGTTTATTACAACAGCGCCCTTGCTTCGCGGCACAACATCCCTGAGCCAGCTGTGCCCCGTCATCAAGCCACACGCCACGAACCTCCTCAACGCCCGCATGCGCGTGCACGTGATCCTGGATGTGCTGCCGGAGCAGCAGCTGCTGTCGCTGCCGTCGGGGCCGCCGGGGCCAAACGCTCGCGTGGGATTTGGTGCTCGTGGTGGCGGCGACGGTGGACGTGGTGGTGGTTGCGATCAACAATCCCAGGCTGCTACCGGTGACACTGGTGATGGACAGACGCCTGGACACCCAAGGGAGCACATCGTCAACTCTGGCACACACCCCATGCTCGTGTCTGTGGAGAGCGTTGCTCACATGAACATTGCTGCTAAGGAGACAGGTGGCAGTGACGGTCGTCGCGAGGGCATGCAATGCGGCGTGTATGTGTCATATCGCACCAGCAATGAGATTGTGTCGACGCAGGTCTCGCCTGCTGCCGGTGGGAAGGAGGCCCTGTGGAATCACACCCGCACCGTGAGCGTGTATCTGCCGCGCCCGCACCCAAACGCGTCCATGACCTCTGGAGCGCTCGTGTTTGAGGTGTGGGCTCGCAAGCTGCCGCTCAACAATGGTGACAGCGACGGCGATGGCAGTGCGGGTGGTGGAGGAGGAAGAGGAAGAGGAGGTGGAAATGGCAACGCAGGTGGTGGTGGTGGTGATGACCGCCTGCTGGGGCGCGCACAGGTTGAGCTTGAGCCGCTGCTGTATGGCCTCACGTGCATTGACGGGTGGTACCACATCGCCACCGCCAGCGGCGAGAAGGTTGGCCAGCTTCACGTGCGCATTGAGCCTCTGAAGGCACTGCCAGCGCAGCACCAACTGCAACGGCGGCGCCCGCACAACGAGAAGGCGTCAGTAGCAGTGGCCGCAGCGTCACGACAGCGCCAAGATGCTCACGAGACACGCGCGCAAGCGAAGACCACGTTGAATTCAGCAACGGCAGCAGCAATACAAGAAACAGCTACAAGATCAGCGGCAGCAGGAGACTGGACCAATCTTTCGACGACAGGCGCCAGGGTTTGCAGTGCAAGCACGAGCGGACGATTTGGGGCTGTGTCGTCGCCACCGCCTGATGTGTCGCGGTCGTTTCTGCACACGAAGTTGGCAGAGAACCTGAATGCACTTGACGCTCTGGCCCAGTCTCTGCATGCACGCCTCATCACGCAACACACGGCAGATGAGCAGGAAGGGGAAGGGGAAGCAGCTGATGGTGATGGTGATTGGCGCGGGGGTGACGGTGACAGGCGGATTTATGGCGAGGAGACTGTGGTGGGGATTGCACATGCAGCTCAGCAGCACCGGCATGAACGCGGTGGTGGTCACGGCCGCCTTCTCCACCGAGAGGACCGAGGCGATGTGCGGCCTGGGTCGCCACTGCATCGCGATGGTGGGGATGATGATGACGGTGATGTTGGCGCTAGTTGGAGCGTTGGGCGTGGTGGACGTGGTGGGCACGAACACGAGTGGACGGAACACGAGGAGGACAGGGGTGCACACGAGGAGCGGCAGTGGCGGTCAGCTCGACGCGTGCACATCATCGATGAAGGTCGACATGGCGCGAGGGGCAAGGACGGCACATGTGAAGGTGGTGATGATGGTGATAGTGATGAAGATGAACACGATGGCACCCAGCGCCGCCAAGGTCGTGCAGATGACCCCTTGACTTCTCAATCCGCCCACACAACGTCGTCGGCGCACGCGACACGAGGCATGGGCGCAGGACACGATCGCGCTGCTGTTGCTGCTGTTGATGACGAGGATGACCTTGATGTTGCGTTTGGTGCGGATCGAGTGTTGTCGCGCGCGCGATCACTGCTGCAGCGCCTCAACGCCGGACAGACCATGACCGCAGCCGTTGGCGCTGAGAAGGAAACCGCTCACAGCTGCGGCCCTGATGATGACGATGGCAGCGGCCGTGGTCGTATTGGTGGTGGTGACCGTGGCAACGACGCTGATAGCGACGTGATGGCGGGAACAGCGACCAACAGGACGTTTGTGATTGCCGCACACGAAAGACGCCAAACGAGCGAACACGAGACAGCAGAGATGGTGGATGCAGTCTTGTTTGCCTCTGAAGACACCTCACAACAACAACAACAACAACAACAACAACAACAACAACAACAACAACAACAACAACAACATCGTAGTGGTGGGTTTGAATTCTTTGACAGCGATGCGCTTTCGCTGCCATCTGAGCCGGCGTCCCCGCGTCCACGAAACGAGCACAAACAAGGCGCTCACACCACAACTCATGATGATGATGATGATGATGATGGTGGTGGTGCTCGAAGTGGTGCCCACCAAGCCGCAGACGGTGTACAAGTCCACGCGTCTGCATCACCGGCTACGAGGAGACGGACATATGAATACAGGGACATGTACGCCACCACATCCTCCGCCACGCCGTTGCGGGTTGCCGACGATGGTGATGACGACGCTGGCTTGGCGTCTCTCGTTGGCTCCACGCCGCTATCGCGTCGACTTCGTGGGGAAAGACGCGACCAACAACAAGACACCGCCCGAGTGGCTGCGGTTCCCGCGAAGGCAAGGGTGACAGCAACCACGCCAAGCACGCCACCACATCGGGCGCGTGCACCGCG